GGGCATTGGGTTTCCTCCATATGTTTCTGCATTTGATCCTTTACTGCAGGTGCTATTAATTCAGGGATTTCTTTTTTCATTTTCAATCTGAGTTTCTCTATATCTTTCTGCAGTTGTTTCTTTATTTCAGAAGCTGTTGATTCATTGATTTCAGCTATGTGGTTCTCATTTTGTTCTGTGTTAGTGTCCTCTGCACTTGTTATGGGTGGGCTTGGGTTCTGAGATTGCATTTTCTCCTTCTCGCTGTCATTTTGTGTAGCACTGTCTTCTGACCTTTGTTGTAGAGCTTTGGTGCAGTTATAACCTTAGCACCTACTGAAATTCAGGTGCAGATCTACAAAGTTTGGATTTATCCTGCTGTGTCTGGCTTGGGTCTGGCTGCTGTGCTCAACTCCTTCCTGCTGCTGCCCTTGGGAGTGATCCTGTTGTGCCCATCTGGCAAGATGTTCTGCTCCTGGACTAGCTGAGTAGTTCTGTTCCCTATTCTATCTACAGGGATTGCAGCTGAAGGGTTTCACCCCAGGGCTGTATGCCAGGCCTGAGCTGAGTCTGGAGGGGACAAGGTGGATTAAGTGGGAGAGGATGCTCTCCACACACTCACCGGGCCTGGGCTAGGGCTGGACCTGGGGCTCCCCGGAATGTTTCAGAAATTCTCACTGGGCGGGCGGGTTGGGTGGGTTCTGCGAAATGGTGGGGGTCCCAAGGGGTTGAAGGGGTTCTTACCCATGCTGCACCTGGGCGGGGACCAAGAGGTTCCGCCTGCACAGGGTAGCTGGAAGCTTTCCCACATACTCACCGGGGCCTGGACTAGGACTGGATCCTAGGGTCCCCAGAACGCAGCAGAAATTCTCACTTGGCGAGCAGCATGGGGGTGGTGCTGCAGAGTGGTGTGGAGGCCCCAAGAGGTGCAAGAGGGTCTACCCATGCTGCGCCTGGGCTGGGACTGGTAGGTCCCACTGGTGCAGGGTAGCAGGAAGCTCTCCCACTCACTCACCAGGACCTGGGTAGGACTCACACAAAAGAATATTATGAACAATATTATGCTAGCAATCTAGACTAAATTGGCAAACTGACACAGAAGCTCTATCCTAAGTATTAACTGAGTGAATTCTGACAAAAATAGCACACCTACATGAACACCTTGTAGTTGGCTCAAAAAATGAAGCATTACCAACACTCAGAATCAATGTTCCCATCACACAAACCCTTTCCCTGATTAATCCTCTCTCCCCAAGTGTAACTGCTATCCAAACTACTAACATAATTTCATTGAATGGTTAAACTTGGTTTTAGTTCCATAAATATTCAATCATAGTTCATATGTTTGGTTCATCTCTTCATTCAATTAATATTTTTTTCTGAAATTTATCTGTATTTAACTTTATTTTTGTTGTCTTTCTTCTTTATGTATTTAGTAGAGGATCTAACAGGATCTCACTACACAGGTTAGACTCATAGTGATCCACCTGTTTTCAGCCTCCTAAATGCTAGGATTACAGGTGCACACCACCACGCCCATTCTCAGTCACCTTCTCAGCCAGCCCCATGGGTGGGCCAGCACAGCAAGCCAGGAGATCAAACCCATGGTCCCTGCGTCTGCCTAAGCAGGCAGTTTAATCTGCTGAGCTATCTGACCGGCCCTATTTTCTTTGTATTTCACTTTAAGTACATATGTCATATATGTGGTGGTCAATTTCCTCCATATAGATAATTGAATTATTTAAAAATTGAGGCTACTATGGATTAAATGACTATATGTAGTCTTATGTATGTCCTTTGGTGCAAATATGAACACAATTCTGTCAGGAATGTATCTAAAAACAGAATTTCTTTTTTTTCTGTATTGTAGGGAAGGGTCTACACAGAGTATTCAGGGTCTCACTACTAGATCGGACTCAGTGATTCTCCTGTTTACAGCCTCCCAAGTGCTGGGATTACAGGTGTATGCCACCACACCCAGTCTCAGTCACTGTTTCAGTGTGCCCCCGGGGGGGGCCAGCATGGCAGGCCAGGGATTGAACTTGCGGCCCCTGTGCCTGTTTGCAGGCACTTTAATCCACTGAGCTATTTGGCCAGCCCTAAAAGTTGAGGATTTTTTTTTTTGGGGGGGGGCCTGGCTGAGGCTGCCTTAAGTGTGGGTATGGTGTTTCATGTGGAGCTGGGGATCAAACCACAGTTCTGCAAGCCTAACTGGGTTTGCCCAGGCAGGCGCTTAAACATCTGAGCTAACCACCAAGCCCCCTAAAAACAGAATTTCTTGACCACAGGCTATCTGCTTATTCAATATTTATAGTTAATACAAAACAGCTTTTCAAAGTGTGGCTGTCCTTATTTATACTCCTTCAAGAAGTTTGTCAAAGCACCAGGTGTTCTAAATCTTCACTAAGATTTGCATTGTTATATGCTTTGAAATAACAACTCCAATTCTGTGAGTTGACTTTTTTTTCACTCTCAATTCTTTTGATGAACAACGTTTTATTTGATATAACCCAACTTATTGATCTCTTCTATGATGTGGTGGATTTTGTATTATGTCATTTGAGGACTTATACACACATAGAAACTGGGTTGTAAATATTTCCACGTGAGAGTTACAAACAATGAAGGCTATCTGGGGATCTCAAGTCACCAGCCTTCATCTAGCCAGCAGGCATTGAGAGGAGATTTGGAAGCCTTCTGGATGGACCAGTAAAATATAAGCATTACAGATTGAAACTTTTTACTTTCAAACATTTCACAAAGGAACACGCTTATCCAAGTACTGAGTGTACCTTTATCAGCACGTATGCACACCCTGCTGAAGAAACGCTGTCCTTGATGCAATCTCACATTTATCCATAGCTATTTCCTTCTGTGCCTTGCAGAGGGGGTGCGTTGCTGAGGATTGAACTGGGCAAACACTCTACCACTGAGCTCCAACCCCAGTCCTTATGTGCTAATCTTTGAATCCACATCAATCACTAAAGGTCCCTCTTTTCCCAGGATTTATCTCCAAATTCCGTGAGTGATTGTGCCCAGCAAATGCAAGGCCCAGAACAAACATCCTGGGACATTCTGTCATGTACAACTAGAACCCTGGGGGAGGTTGTGATTGTTCCCCTTCTGTGATGTGTCCCTGAGTTATTTATATAATATCAGAGAGTCATAAAATCCCATGCCATCTGGGACTTTACCAAGAACCCAGCTACACTACCAGAGTTTCCTGTGGTCTGCCCAGAACAGTATACATCCAAATTCTGCAGGAACTGGAAAGTTATTACCCAAGGGGCCCTGTTGTACTTTTGTTCCATTTTTTTTTTAAATCTCCCCACAGTTGAGCTAAAATCTCTGTCCCTATTTCTACTTATTCCCTAATTTACCAACTCCAGGGTTCAGTAAATCATCATGATCCGTTTACTAGGTGTTAGACTAAGACTGTAGTTGGTGATCTCATAGAGTTTGGAATCTAGTTGAAGAGATCACAAGCATGTCAAGCATAATTAGCTGTTGATAATTTAAAAGACATTAAAATTAGGCCACCTCATCAAAAGAGGACATAGTTGAACAAGACTTCAAAAACTAGTAAGGAAGTAGCTAAAAGAAGAGGAAAGATAGGGAGGGCACCAGGAGGAACAGTAAATGACAAAGCATAGGAACGTCACAGCATAGACAGACTCAGAAAAGCAGGGTTTTGGTGTGGCCTGTGTGAAGGGGGGATAGATAGCAACATAAGGAATCAAGTAGGCTAGTGGAGGGAGACACATCTCAGTGGGAGTGGTAGCATGTGGGAAAACATGGTTCCAAGGTGACAGTATAAGAGTCTTTCTTCTGAGGGTATGTAGTGGGTTGATTAATAACCTAGAAAGATCTTTGCATGCTAACTTTTGAAACTTGTAGCTATTACTATATGAACAAAAAGTCTTAGGAAATGTGATGACGTTTAAGATCTTGAGATGAGAATGTTTATTAAATTATTCAGGTAGGCCTCTAAATACAACCATAGACGTCCTTATAAGAGGAAAACAAAGTAGTGGATTGTGGAAGAGGACAGAGTGATGTGATGATGGGATCAGATATTGAGGCTTTGAAGAGTGAGCCAGATGCTCTAAATCTTCACTAATATTTGCATTGTTATATGCTTTTAAATAGCTTCAAAGTCAAACTATTGTGAAACAGCTCTTATAAGGCAAGGAATTGTTTTTTTTTGGGTTTTTTTTTTGTTTGTTTGTTTGTTTTGTTTTGTTTTTGTACCAGGAATTGAACTCAGGAACTTGCACTTGCCAGGCAGATACTTATGTTGCTGAGCTATCTCTTGGCCTAAGCCAAGGAATTTAGTAGGCACTGGGAACCTAAAAGTTCAAGGAAACAAATTCAGCTACTGTTGACACCTTTATTTAACCCTGAAAGAGGTGTGGCCCCCAGAACTTTAGAAACTAAGTTTGTGTTGTCTTAAGCTACTAAGTTTACAGAGTATTTTTATGGTAGCAATAGGAGGATAACAAAAATTATTTAACCCCAAGAATATTAGATTCATTTCATTCACTATGTTGCAGTTCTGAGACGTTACCAAAAAAAAAAATCTATTCCTCAAGTGGTAGGAAATATAGCAAAAAAAAAATCACTCATAAATTCTTATGTCTGGAAAGAACATTATTTATCTCAAATATAAGTTTTTCATACACAATCTTAGGTTCAAAAATAAATAAATAAAATAAAATCGTAGGTTCAAATCCTCTACTACATGCTATTTTTATGGCCTTGGGTATGCTACAAAACCCTTCTAAGCTTGTTGTCTCAGCCATAAAAAGCTTAACGCTTTATGATTATTATCTCTTAATTATATATACCTCACAGAGCTCTTATTATGACTCAATAAGATAAGGAGGATGGAAGAAGAAAAAGGGGAGAGTCCATATTTATCAGAGTGCTAGAAAGTGCCAAGCACCAAATTCTTAAGGAGAAGAACATGATTGATGTTGGAAACGTGAAAGACTTTAATATTTATCGTTTTTAAATGAAGTATGGGTGTGCTGGCCCAAGTCAGACACAAACAAGGCCTGGACAAGAAGGGCAGTGAAAAAATACATACCTCCGAAGTGAGCAGAAGAAATGGGTGACCATGGAGTAGGCAGAAGTAGCCCTAACAGGGTTGGATCTCCTCAGAATCTGAGGTGTTGGTGAGAGAAAGGACCTCAAGAGGTCATCTTCTACAAGTATGATAGTTTGGTTTTCCTAAACAGTAAATACCAAGAACTTTATTTGAAAGCTAAGTGTGATTGAGACATGGCCCTAGCTTTAGTACTAGAAGAGCCAGGACTAAAACTGTTCAGTTAATAAGAAGGAGCTCATCAGAAATATCTCTGGAGAGGCTCTTGCACGTCCTCCTTCAGCTCTAACTTCCTCAGTCTCAAAGAGGTTTGCAGGAAACTTTAAAGCGCCTATCAATATTGTAAATATCATGGCATGGGGGTGGGGCGGGGAAATAGCTCAGTAGAGTAAGTGCTTGCCTGGCAAGCACAGGGTCCTGAGTTCAATCCCCAGTACCGGGGGGAAAAAAAAAAGGCATGGGAAGCTTTGAAGTTTCCAAGAAGTAGAGGAAGGTTCTGAAAGTGAGGAGCCTAGGGGAACCACATAAGGAATTCTTTGGAACAAACCGCAAACTACCCCTTGTCCATGTCTTCAAATTAGAATTTTCAGGACTTGAATAAGATGAATTAGTTTCTCTCTCTATCTCTCTGTCTCTGTCTCTGTCTCCGTCTCCCTCTCTCTGTCTGTCTCTGTCTCTGTCTCTGTCTCCCTCTCTCTGTCTGTCTCT